AGTCCTGTCTGGCCTTGGAATCTGTGGTTAATTAACTTTATCAGTGATGATTTTATGTTTTCTTCCAGGTCATTGATCAAACGAGTGTTCATGTCAAGAGTCACAGATCTGGGCTGAATGCCCATCAGTGAAGGGCCCTACACAAATCCCAACACAATTATTACGGCAGCAGCCGGTCAAGACCCTTGTGCTAGGCGCTGTACAAACAGAAAACAAAGAGAGGTTTCCTGTCCCAGAGAGCTTAAGTAAAGATTTTTTTTTTTTGCCAAGCCCCCATTGGAAGAAAATAACTCAATTCCTTTCAAACTTACCCAGAACGTGGGAGATGAGCTGCTTCATGGTGGCCACTGCCTTCTCCAACCAGGCAAGAAAACTGCATCTACGTTATCCTCTTGTGATCTTTCTCCGAGGAAGTTTGCTGAGTGACACAGTTTTTACTGGAGATTCTTATCTCAGCTGTGTCTCTCTGCGGACGGATACACCCCCCCCTGCCCACGATGGCCTCTAAGCATCTAGCTAATGTTTGTTATGAGGGTAAACCTACCTCCAGTGGTGCTGGATCTAGGGGTGCTGCCACGCCCCTCAAGTTGAAGTAATAACAAACACCAAATACATGGTTTCCATCAGCAGCACCCCCCTCCCACTATCAAAATTGTCCCAGCCCCCCCTGCGTACCTCCCAGCAATCTACAGGAAGGAAAGTAAAAGGGGAAACTGCGCTCCTTGCCTTTCGGGAAGGAAACTGACTAATAATAATAGTGGGATGTGAAGGCTTTAAATAACCTCATGTATGGTTCCTGGGAACCACATGTGACATTCTACAGCTTGGGGGAATGTCCTGTAACCCCCATAGTCCTCATTTTTATATAATTGTGATCTTACATATAAAGCAGGCTTTGTAAGGTATCAGGGGAAAGGTTACGCTCTGCTGAAAGTCATTTCTCTATCCATATATGTATATTATTAATGCATATGAAGTTATGAGAATTGTGTTGTATGGTTGTCACTAAAACATGCTGTACATTGAGGAATCAGCCAGATATTCGCTCCCCAGAGTCAAAAGGAAGGAAAGTAACCAACACCCGGGCGGGGTGTCAAACAGCCCATCAACAGCCATTGTCCAGCAATAGGGTTACAATATTTAAACATTAAAAAAAGAGGACACTCCATGGGGCCCTGGCCCCGCCCCTGCTCCCGCCCCAACTCCGCCCCTTCCTGGCCCCAGCCCCGCTCCAACTCCGCCCCTTCCCCAAAGTCCCCGCCCCAAATCTGCCCCCTCCCCTGAGCACCCCGCATTCCCCCTCCTTCCTCCCAGCCACGCGAAACAGCTGCCCGAGCGCTACCGGCTTCATGCTTTGCCGGGCAGCCCCCAGACCTCCAGACCCTGCGCCCCCGGCTGGGCACTTCCCCGGCGCAGCCGGAGCCCGGGAGGGGAAGCTACACCAGGGGAACTGCTCAACCCTGCCTGGAGACTCAGCAATGCCCCCCAGACATGCCTGGACTTGTGCTCCCCAAGCACATGGGACGGAGGGTATAAAACGCGCTGGGCCTTTCTCCCTCACCCATCTATGCTGCAAGCAACAAGGACACTCTGAAGACTCCAACTGAGGGGACTGGCCCAGATTTCAAGGGTGAAATCTGTGTCCTATGAACTGCAATATCCAGCGGGGTGAGAAAAACTGCTGAATCTAGATGTTGCCCAGTCTAACAGGGTCAAGAGTTCAGACTGCGGGCTTATATTTTCTTTTGTTTTGGTAACTAACTCTGACCTTTTTGCCTAGCACTTTCGCCTTTCCTGCTGGAGTAGGAAGTTGTTCTGGGGCTCGGGGCTGACTGTACAGCTTATAGAAAGGGAAACACAGACTCTGTGCCCCGTCTCGATTTCATGCCAGCCCTTTTAGGGTGTAAAGTTGGCAGAAATGGCCACCGTTTGTCAACGTCTCATGGGCAGGGGGCCTCGCTAGCTGGAGTACGGGTCCTGCATCCCCCTGCTCCCGGAGTGGAGGGCAAATCAGGGGCATGACCAGAGTACATTGCACTACATCTCTTCCCTGCTCCCCAGGAGGCTACAGCTTGCAGCATAAGTTAGAACAGCCTCAAGGTTGCTCTAACTTACACCCAGGGCTGGGCACAGCCCTGAATGGCCCCAGAATAGAGGGAACACAACATTTCTTCTAACTTAGCTGCTGCAGGGTCTCTCCCTACAAGGCCTCCTCTGCTATGGAATGACTCTCACTTCTGGATATGTCTGAAGTAGAGGTCATGGGGCCCAACTGGGCCAGCCAGACAGGGCTCTAGCACCTGACTGACAGCGTTCCTGGCACTGCCCTAGGCACTGTGGTCGCAGCACTACGCCTCAGAGGACCTGAGGTAACGCATCACAGCGGATCTCATGCTCTGCTGCTAGGGGACAGCCGTGGAGCCCATGAACCCTGGCGGGGAGAACAATGGGGAGTTGTGGGGGGGGAAGAGAAGAGGCCACATACTATGAATCCCCATCCACCCAGCACTGTGAGGGTTAACACAGCATGCAGCACCAATCTCTCTGCTTTATTCCTGCAGCTGCTGCTGCCTTATCTCCCTGCCAGAGCTCAGTTCCCCTCCTTGGTTTCTTGCAGCAGCCTCTTCTTATCGCCCTGGTGCAGGATGGTGACACTTCTTGTGAAAGAAACTTCCCCTTTGAAGTTCCAGGGTGCCAAGAGCTGCCCTGCAGGCCCACGGCCCAGAACCAAGAAACACCCGGGGGCCCCTCGTGCGGGCTAAGGATATACCTACATTGCAACCAGGAGGTGTGACCATTGCACTTCTAGACATGTCTGAGCCGATGGTCGAGTCGTACCAGAACGCTCCGGCACTTCCCTGGCAGCTTGCGATACTTCCAGTACTTGCATTCCAGCGCGGCTCAAGCCCTGCATCACCCCCTGATCTGAGCTAGCTCGGGCGTCACGGGGCCAGGAATGAAAGTTTGCATATGAGTTAGCAGGAGGATCCGGGCCAGGCAGTGGGGGGCCAGCCAAGGCTGGGAACAGAGTGTGGGGGGAGATACCCAAAGGCTGGGAAGGGAGGGGAGCCAAGCTCGGGGGTAAAGCGAGGCATGGGACTTCTTGGAGCGGGGGGGAGGAGGAGGAACCGGGCTGGGGATTGCTGGGGGGAGCCGGGATGGCAAGGGAAAGCAGCAGGGGGGGTTTCTTTGTCTGGCTCAGTGAGCAAGCAGGGAACACGCTAGGGCCTCCTGGGGAGCAGACTGGTGGCCCCGGCGGAGAACAGCTGTTCCGAGCATCCCCACACTGCACCTGCCCCTCTCCCCTCTTCTGCCCACATGCCATGTCCCACTCCCTGCAATCTCGCTCCTAGTCGACTCTTCACGCCGCCTCCCTCTTCTCTGAAGTTTAAGCCCAGACCCTGAGGATCCCCTTTGGACCAGCACCTTTCCTCTCCTCCCTTCCCCAGGAGGGATGTCATAAATATAAAGGGAAGGGTAACAGCCTTCCTGTATATAGTACTATAAAATCCCTCCTGGCCAGAGGCACAAAATCCTTTTACCTGTAAAGGGTTAAGAAGCTCAGGTAACCTGGCAGGCACCTGACCAAAAGGACCAATAAGGGGACAAGATACTTTCAAATCTGGGGGCGGGGAGGGGAAGGCTTGGGTCTGTCTGTGTGCTTGCCAGAGACAGATCAAGAAAGCAAGCAATCCAACGCCATTAGAATTAGTAAGTACTAGCAAGGGACTGCGTTAGCTTACTTTTATTTTGGCTTGTGATTTTCTCTGTGCTGAGAGGGAGGTGTATTCCTGCTTTTCTTTCTGTAACTTTAAAGTTTTGCCCAGAGGGAAATTC